GCACAGGCCCAGTATAACGAATTAAGGTGTACCCATGTCCAAGCAGAGACGTTCGTGAAATCAGTACTAAAGTCGAGTAGATATCCGAGTACTTCCGGCTGTAAGAGCTCTCTGCTCGTAAAGACCCGATTTGCGACTCGTAATAGGAACGACCTAGTCTCTTCTCCCACAGTCTCCGAGGCATCGGGATCACCCAGCTGCCGTACTTGCGGGCGGCTAAGCTCCAACAGCTCCGCCGCGTGGGCAAGCCTCTTCCACATCGGAGCGTTTAGCTTTGTGGCATAGTTACAAATATAGTGCAAAAGTGCCAGCCCCTTTTTACGTGTGAGTATCAGTGATAAATCATGGTTGTGCCTTAAGCCTATCGCCATGCTTTGATTGTAGCGATTAACCATCTGATGGTTTCTCCTCACCTCAAGCAGGCCATCGCTCGTGAAGCTGGTCTCGATCACCAGCCTCCAAGGGGCGCGAAATCTACACAAATCCTTTCGGCCTCTGGTAAGGCCCTCCTTCAGCACTTCTTTAATAGAGTACTTTATATATGTGGCACTATGGTGGTGCACTTGACAGCGAAAGGCGACAAAACTAGCTTCGCGCTCAAACTCGGCTGATATCCAACTCGCATCTTCAATAAGCTCGGGCTCTATGACAGTAGTCTTTCTGCCGCTCTCGAGAGCCTCCTTTGCTAAGAGCTTGTTCAGGCTCTTAGTAAAGACATCATCAACAAAAGTCTTTACTTTCGTCCGGTACTCGACCTTATCCGGGTTGGCCATATCCCGGACAAGGTCTCCAAGAGCCAAGTTCCCGTCTAACCATAGCAGACCATGTAGATGAAGTGCTCCACGGTCATTAGTCTCTACTGTGGCATAGTAATGACTTGCTCTACCATAAATAGACGGCCGCCCGATACGAACATATTGCTCAAAGAATAGTGACACCTCTCGAAAAAAGAATAGCGCGGAACTGAGCGGGTCATGCACGGACAGCGTTGTGACCTGAAGCGACGTGCTCAACGCACGAAGGAATGCTCTGGCGGTAGGTCCGTCACGCTCCCTATGCGCAGTAAGCTTCAATTTCACCGGATTGTTGATGTCGTTTGGATTGATTGTAAACCAGATCGCTGTGAGACCAAATGCCACGACCATCGACCAGATTTTCTTCCTCATCGATAATCGGCTCTCGTTCGATAGTGGATGACGGTTACCATAGAGAGAGAGCTCTTTTATCAGCGTAAGGACATCTTCGTCCGTGGTCTTCCCAGTCTGCATCATTTCCTCTTGCGCCTGCCTCAGACGCTCCCGTGACAGTTTTCGACGGATTCCTTCGACGCGCCGAAAAGCGGACCGCAAAAGCCGGCCACGACTAATATGACGGTTCCGATATCTTAGAAGCATGTTGAAAACAAGGAAAGAAAAGGCAGGATGCTGAGAACAATGCCCCCTATGCCGCCGTAAAACGAGTTTGGCCTAAGACTCGAGTGTTATATCCTGTAGAAGAGGGTTGGCGGGGCGGCCCTGCTCATCCCGCTCTGTCACTCGAGGTCCACCACCACCAAAAGGGAAGCACTTAGGAAAGGTCTTGGGAAAGTAGTCCACAGCTAACGCTTCCGCAAAATTGCTGCCACGCGATATCCTAATAAAGGGACGCTTAGAGGATCCATACATCCTCATGGACGATTGAATCTCTTCACTGCCTGCTTCGAAGTCGTCGTCGAAGTTACGTTCTGCCTGCAAGGCCATGCTCACAAATTTCAGTTTGTCTTTCTCGGCGAAGGAGGCCTTGTTGTCGATCGGAAACATAGCGGAAGAATGCAGTTCAAATACACGCTCTTCCGCTTCTTCGGCAACTCTCTCCTTCAAGCTCTGTCCGTCCATACTGGATCCACTGCCCCGACCTACGGCATCTTTCTTAACTTTCTCCGATAGCTGCCTGGCGATATCTTCGACTGTCGGTAGCTCTCCAACCACTTCCTGACTTCGATCGGTTGGGGGTATAACCTGCCCGGTTCGGATAACTTCTTCAGCAGTCTCCTCCTCCCTTGCCATCCGACGATAAGCCAGTTCTGGCACGTTACTGTCACCTTCGAAGGCCCAGCTGTCCATCTCGGCAGAATTGACCCCAATTCCCGCATATAACGGATTGTTAACCCGCAACCACTGCAATGCAATACGCAGAACCCGGGGCCTCACAGTCAACAACTTGCTCACATCCAACGGCGTAGGTCTATCAGGACCCGTCCAGATGACATGCACCTGTTCCAGGGTTTCTATCAGAGGATGTGGTAGAATCGTGGCTGTCAACGTTTCTACGTCGTTCGGGAACACCGTAATGTGGCCCACGACGTGCTTTCGATATGTCGGCCCCATCACCTGGCCACGCTGGATATTAAACTTCGTTATAAACCCATACGCCGAGTTCAAGGAGATTAGCTTCTCCTCGAGAGGAGTTAGATCCCTCAGTTCCTGGGGATATCTGTGCTCACAGCCAATGAGCATCGTGCTCCCCATGCACGATTCTGGGACACGACCTCGATCGAAGGCCGCTCGACAGGTGACGCATATAGGCACTACTGCATCGCTGTCTGCCTCTGGAAAACATATGTTACAGGCAAACACACCGGCCATCGTGGCCCGGAGGTCATGAGGTACCGCGGCTCTCCAGTCAACCTGGTCCAAGTCTCGCGGCCGCTTTTTCAAGTAGCACACAGAACACGTCGCTATCTCCATCGTGCTCTCGTCATGGAAGGCCTTGAGGAAAGACTGCACCGTCTCCACCTTGCGGTCTAGAGGCACGGGATTGCACCACTCGCGCCGCGCCGAGGCCGCCTGCTTCTCGCGAAAGGCCGCGTCTGCAGCTTCTATCAGCTCAGCCACTGCCTCTTTCTGCTTCGCAACCATGTCTGCCGATGTCCAGTCTGGGGGTCCAGGCTGGTTAGCTGAGACACCAGACGTCTGCGGTCTCGCAGGTCGACGACGCCTGCGCAATGTCAGTTACGCCGGAGTTGTCCCTATATCAGGAGACCAATATATACCTAGGTTCCATGGTAGATGCTGCCTCCTCTCTAGCAGCTCTAGTTCCTTGCCGCTGCCGGCTACTATGCTCCACCAGTTCTTCTCGGCGCCGCCGTGCGCCCTCCTGCCGCTGTCGATGTCTCTCCAACCACTCTCTGGCTTCCCTTCCTTCATCGCTTTCCGCATCTATCTGGCGCACGTGCTGTCTTCTAGGGTAAGCTTGCCAATTTGAAGATAAAATGCGAGTATGAGGGACTTCTCTTGCCGTGTTCCGCGCATGATGCCTCGGAGTCCTGGCGGGCCTTCCAGATTCCTCCCCTGGTCCTGATCGTAGCCTCTCAGGCGGAGGACCATGGCGATTTAGCTGCCACTATAGTTCATATCCACCCCCATGGCTGCTGCCGTGTGTATCCTGCACCAGGTAGGTATGAGGGTCGATCTGCCACTGCGGCGAGTCATCATGATGTGGTTCGCCTTCCGGTTGGGCCGTCACTGCCTCAGAAGACTGCTGCTGTTTCGGCAGCAGCTCACGCTCCCGTCGCTGCGATGCCTCCATCTGAAGGCGGCGCTCCTCGGAGTTCAGGTGTCCTGTCTTCCGAGGCCGACCCCGTTTTACATGATGCTGCTGCGATCCCTGCTGTGTCCGCGGAGTTGCCCCTGATAGACTGCCCTGGAGATCCTCCGCCGGCCCCTGCCCACCAGAGCCTCGATGCTGACTACTGCGTAGCTCTGCCCATTCTCGCATCACTCGATCTCTCTCTGGGCGCTCACGCTCCCGCTCCTCCCGCCGACG